GAATCCCTGAGTTATGGCCCTGTAAGCAAGTGACCTGCCTCCTGTGTGGCTTCCACATACTCCTTCATGTATCTCATACAAGAAGTCTTCAACTTGTGAAGGATGCACACACCTCAAAAGGGGTCCAGTAAAAGATCTTCTGTAGAGATGCCCTTCTGTTGTCAGACTGAATCTTGCAGACTTAAGTCTGATCTTGTGTGCTTCTTTATGATTACCTGGCAATTTCTCCTCTTTAAGGAATACTATTATTGCATCCATCCAGCTTGGTCTCATCTTCACACACATTGCTTCATGCTCTGTGTTCAGTGGTTCTACACTTGGACCGGATAAGTAGTCAACCATTATTGTCCTTGCCTCCTCTGGTTTCATTGCACTAGCTAGGTTAGCCAAAGCATTAGCATGACTGTTGTCATATCGGCTAACTTGCTGTAGTCGGCAATTTTGGAACAATGCTATCAGTCTGCCCACCTCCTTTATATAGGCCACCATCCTTTCATCTCGAGCAGCGTATTCGCCTGTTGCCTGGTTAATGATAAGTTAGGAGTCACAGAAGACCATTACCTTGTCGGCTTCCATTGCTGCTACCAACTTTAATCTTACTATCAGTGCTTCATACTCTGCTTCGTTGTTTGAGGCCTTAAACCCCAAATGAATAGATTGTTCCAGTATCTGTCCATCCGGCGATACTAGCACTACTCTTGCCCCCGCTCTTTGTCGGTTTGAACTTCCGTCAACGAACAGGCGGATGGAGTCGCCGACGTAAATACTGCAGGGTCTGAGTTTCTCTTCTTTCCTCTGTTTGGCTCTCTCTAACTGGGTTTCTCCTTGTTCACCTGGACATCGTATACCTCGGCTCAACGGAGCCCGATGTATGATGGCGCCTGGTGTGAACTCGGCTATGAAGTCGGCCAAAACTTGGCCTTTGATTGTTGTTCTGGGTCTGAATTCCAAGTCATATTGGCCCAACACCACTACCCATCTGGCTATCCTGCCTGTCAAATCTCCTTGCTACAACAGAGACTTCAAAGGATGCTCAGTTAACACCACAATCTTGTGGGCTTGAAAGTAATGATTCAGCTTATTGGAGGCCATTACCAAAGTTAGTGTTAGCTTTTCCAAAGGTAGATATCTGGTCTCTGCATCTGGTAGGGTTTTACTCACGTAGTAAACTGCCCTTTGTTCTCCTTTTTCTTCTCTGACTACCACTGCACTTACTGCATGCTCTGAAACTGCCAAGTATAAGAACAGTTCCTCTCCAGGTACTGGATTTGAGAGGACTGGAGCTGTGGTCAGATATTTCTTCAAGTCGGCCAAGGCGACTTCGCACTCCTCTGTCCATAGGAAGTCTGTGGCTTTCTTTACTATACTGAAGAAAGGTTTGCATTTATCAAAACTTTTGCTTATGAATTTGTTTAGGACTGCAGCCCTTCTAGTCAGCATCTGCACTTGTTTTGCCGACGTTGGGCTCTTTAACTCCAGAATGGCCTTGATTTGATCTGGGCTTGCCTCAATGCCCTTTCTGATGACCAAGTATCCTAGGAATTTCCCTGACCTAACTCCAAATGCACACTTCGATGCATTGAGTCGGAGCCGAAATGTCCTTAGGATGTTAAAGACTGTCTTCAGGTTGGCTAGATGATCTTCAGGTTCCTCAGTCTTCACGACCATGTCATCAATGTAAACCTCTACTGTTTTGCCTATTAGATGTCTGAACATCTTAGTCACCAATCTCTAGTAAGTTGTTCCTGCATTTTTCAACCCAAAAGGCATCACTATGTAGCAATACAGCCCTTTTGGGGTGATAAATGCAGTCTTCTTCTCATTTAGGGGGTACATGGCTATCTGATGGTACCCCCTATAGGCGTCTAGAAAGCTCATCCTTTCATGCCCTGAAGTGACATCCACTAATTGGTCAATCTTGGGTAGTGGGAAACTGTCTTTAGGACAAACCTTGTTCAGGTTGGTGAAGTCTACGCAGACCCTCCACTTCCCATTCTTTTTCTTCACAACAATCGTGTTTGATAACCATGTCAGGTAGTTTACCTCTCGTATGGCTCTGGCCTCTAGAAGTTTATCTACTTCCTCTTCTACTGCCTCAATATGCATCAACGTCGGCCTTCTTGTTTGCTGGATGACAGGTTTAGCCGACCTGTCCACATTCAACTTATGACAAGTGGCCTCGAGGTCAATGTCGGGCATCTCGTACGGTGTCTAAGCAAACACCTCAAGGTTTGCTCTCAAGATTGCTTCTAACTCCTTTTCCTCTTTCTCGACCAATCCTGAGCCGAGAAGGAAGAAGCGTTCTTCATCCACTTGCTGGACAAAGATTTTCTTCAGGGCTTCCTCACTTTTCTCAGCTAGTTCTTTGCCGACGTCCTCAAGGACTTCCATGTCCTCATTCTCAATCTCTGCTGCTGCTGCTTCTCGTATGTTGCAGGTGGATTTCATTGCTGTCATGGAGCAATTCTTTGCCTGCACTTGATCCCCTCCGACCTCCTTAATTCCATGCTCTGATGAGAATCGCAACAGCTGGTGCAATGTTGAGGGGACGGCCCCCATTGCATGCAGCCATGGCCTTCCTAGGATAGCATTGTAAGGGGGGGGAAGGAGTGTCAATTATTGTGAACTCAGTTTTTTCCTTCTTGGTGCCAATCTGCACCTCCAAACTTACTGCTCGCAGGGGCCACGTCGGCGTTCCATTGAACCCGACCATTAGACCATTGGATTATTCCAGATCATCTTGGTGAAGGCCAAGCTCCTTGTAACACCTGACATACATGATGTCACAAGAGCTGCCCTGGTCGATCAGAATTCGCTTTACCTGGCATTCTCCAATCTGGAGGGATATTACCAAGACATCGTTGTGTGGATACTGCACCATCTCTAGGTCGTCTTCAGTAAAAGACACCACTAGTACCTGACACTTGTCTGCCTTAGGTCTCTTCTGCCGGACCTGATACACATGCTGCAAGTGTTTTACCTTCTGAGTTTCCTCACGTATCTCGTTCTCATTGACCTTTGAGTGAATCACATTGATCACTCGAGGTCCGCCTGCTTGCGGTTATGGTGCTGGTGGAGGTGGTGCTGCTGGTGCCTGAGGCAGTCTCGCTTGCTCTTCCCTTGTTCTGGTTTCATCTACCAGGTCCCTTAGATGACCTTGTCTTACCAGGTCTTCTAGATGTGCCTTTCAGGCTCTGCACCCTTGAGTTCGATACCCATCCTCGTTGTGATAGGCACAGTGTTTCCCTAAACTTCTTCCCATAAATTCACCAGGAAGCTTCTCTAGTGTTCTAAAATAGGGCTGATTCCGGATTCTTTCCAAGATTTTGTAAACCAGAATTCGGAATATGGTTGTGACTGCCTATGCAGCCCTCAGTTATGTCTCTTGCTTATTGTATCCACTATTACCTCGGCCTCGCTTCGGCGAGCCGTTTCTCTTCTCTTGTTTTGACGCCTTTGTCCCCGGCGTATCCTCCTCGGCCTTGGCATACTTTTCTATTCTTGCCATAAGTTCATCCATACTTCTAGGCAATGTCTTTGCCAGTGATTTTCGAAGCAGACAATCATCTTTTAGGCCGTTCTTAAAAGACACAACCGCCACCTCTTGGTTGCATTCTGGTATTCAGTTGAATACCTCATAATACATCTTGGCATAAGCCCTGAGGCTTTTATCCTCGCCTATCCTCAAAGCCATCAGGGAGTCCACCCTTAACGGTTGTAGTTTGTTTGTCACAAATTTGGCCACGAACATCTCGGCTAGGCCTTCCCAGCTTTTCATAGTTCCTTTCGACAATTTGTGAAACCAGACTGATGCGATTTCCCCAAAGGATGAGGGGAACACCTTACAGAGCAACGGCTCGTTCCCGGTGTATAATGCCATTGAGTTCAGGTACAAGCCGACATGAAAGTTAGGGTTAGACTTATCGTCGTATATCTGAAATCTCGGCATGTGGAACCTTTCGAGGCCTCAAACTTGTCCAATTCAACCGAGAACGGCATTCTCGGCTTGACCGGAGAGGTTACCTTGGCATCTTGTCGCTTCCTCTAGAGGTAATCCCTCAGATCCTCCTTGGTCCGTCCAAGAGCTCGGCTATCAACGGATTCCAGCCTTCTCGGTGCGCTACTTCCAGTATCGTTATGAGTCCTCTTGGATCTTTCTCCATTAGTTGCGTCGAAACACAGTTCATTCCCTTGATCATGCTGATGTTTTTTGGGGTCAACTTCCTTGGTGTGATGCATCCTCTGAGAATCTCCCTTCATTGACTCTCTTCGCCTGACCTCTCTTGAAGGCCGGTGAGAGTGTTCCTTGGTCCTGGTGTACTGGGGGACTGTAGGGATTGTTTTTTGCCCTCCTTTCTGGGCATTGTTCCTGCCGCTGGAATCGGCGTGTCTTGTAACGGAAACGGTGGCTGTATGACGTTATTCTGCATTATGAAATTGATGACTGATTGCAGGTCTGCCAATTTATTCGCCATTCCTTTCATCTCTCCATCCCTCCACAGGTATCTATTTTTCCATACCTGGAGGTCGTTCTCGTTATAATACCCACATCGGTCTGACTTCTTTGGTACCTCACCCCCCTGGCCGACATCCTTCTCTCTGGGATTCTGATCCCGAGTTTCTTCGTTGTAGTCATTCTCCTCCACGTTAGGGTCAATGTGCTTACCACTCCCAGTAGGGACGTCGTCCCCAACCTTTTCTTTCTGTCCGTTGTTGGCCATCTATTCTCCTTTCTTTTCCACAGACGGCACCAAATTGTGTGTGTTGTTTTCTGACCACACTGCCAAACAAGTACTCAGCTGGAGAACACCGACAGAATAGATTGCGCCCGAACGACCTGTCACAGAAATAAAAGACTCCGGCGGTGGTTCTTCCACCCGGGGGCACTCCGATGATCAAGTCAATACTCAGTTTATCTCTTAAAGATAATAATTAGTGTTTAACTCACTAGCCAGAATACAAAAAGCGTATCTTGGACCCATGAGGGTGCCTTACTTTTATAGCCAGCATTGACCTGATCCTTGTAGAAGCCTAGCTTCAATGGACTCTGTCCCAATGCTCATCCTAGACTCTCCAATAGATAAAAATAAACTCCCTAAGAGCTTTATCCTTATCCAGGCAGAGGTGCTCCCGCTTTCTAGGACTCTCGTCCCTTATCCGCTCATCCCGGATTCCGGTATCTTCGCAGATAATCTCGGCCTAGCCGAGATTACCTCGGCGTCATGACCTGGACACGTGGCACCTCGGCTGGCACTTCGGTGCCACCTTGGCCGCGTGTTGTCATTCAAAAAATATGTTCCCACAATATCAAAAAAAAAATATCTCAACATCCTCGATAAATTCTGACAGCCAGAATAGAGTATCTGACATTAATTAAACATCATATCTCAGCATCATCCTAAAGTTCTAATATAGTTATGTTATGTGCATAACAATCCTGTTTTTTGATGAGCAAATTAAGTAAACCATGATTGTGTAGGCAAGATCTCTTTATCTCTTGGATTGACAGGCCTATGAGAAGCACAAACACTTCTAAGAAGGCACCGTATTCATGTTCATGTCCATGTCCGACACTTGGTAAACCTAGGGCTTCTATGAAATTTTGGTTGATTCTTTTCCTGTTGAATTTGTAAGTATGTGCAGAAATTAATATGTAAACATTATGCAGGTCTCTAAATATCAAATGCAATGACTGTTGCTGCTATAAAGAGTTCTTACTATTGAAGAAACCTAAAAAGGTACAATGCAGTAAATTAACTATGTAATTGCTTCTGTTATCCAAATTTCACATTGCTTGCCTTGGGAAAAATTACAGCAAGTGCTACATATTTCTATGATCTAAACTTAGAACATGAATGTTTGTTTTTACCAGCATCGCTAATCTCCATGCTCCCTCCAACAAAGTAGCATGCTGACACATTGGCGGATTATGTACAACCTTACCCTTTTCTCTTTGAGAGTTCTTCTCCCAGGTATCCAAACTCTGACTCGCCTTTGCTCAGAAGAAACAGAGACTTCCATGGACTCCTGTTATTTTTCTTTCCTCTGCAAAAAAAAAAAAAAAACCCCTCTTTGCTTTGTTTCTCTCAACTTATTATAGAGAACCTTTACAGCTACCAGAATTTGTGTCAGTTACTTTGAAAATCATGTCAGTAAATGCCTTTTGGCAGTGCTTCCAAGTGTTGTTTTCTGCCAGTTGTGATCTGTAAATCCGGACTTCCGGGTTTGTTGTCTCCTCAACCTTCCTTTCTACTTCCAGGATTTATTACCAAAAGGACAAGGGGGTCACAGAACCGTTTGCATTTCTGATAATCTGTTTTCAAACTGAATTCACACCTGATCTTGCCAAGGCAATGTGGTCCACCTTGTTTGCATCATTGTCATTGGTTCAGAAATTTTGGTGAATGTGTCCAAAAAGAGCACCAACTCAACACATTGACATGTAGTCATGGCATGATAGAGCCGGATGAGTGGAATTGATTTGTCCCACTATGGTCAGTTGTGTGGGAAATACGGTTGGTTCCAACCATCTCCATTTGCACTGTCTCATTAGTCAAGAGCAAAACATGCACATCCCATACTGATGCTTTGGAAATAATTTTGTCCACAAGGCTGTGCAAGGCAAACTCCTGATCCTATTTATTCCTTGGAGCAACTCTAGTGAGCTGTTATAATGGCTGCTATTTTCGTATCAAATTTGACACAAAGTTTGAATGCCATTTGTGCCAACTCAATTCACCCAAGAGAGAGCTTTAATTAAGTGGTTTAGATGTGAGATGCTTAAGTCTAATAGTTGAGATGCTTAAGTCTAATATTTAGAAATAAACAATGATCTGAATGTGCGGAAGTGGTACTTGTACCCGTGGAATTACATTACGATATTGTAAGATGTTAAATTATAAGAAAATTCTATACTACGTACTTTCAAAATGTTATGACACTTTGTGGTATTAATAGCACAAAGTGTAATAACTTGCATATGATATATCTTTATCGTCACTTGTCCTTGGATGACTCTTATTTTATGTGTGTATTTGATGAAATGGACTGGAGCAATAGATGGTGTGTGTATAATAATATTGTCAACTCTTTTAGATATCAGTTTCAGCCAAAATGCCATAGTAATAGCCATTCTCGACTTCTAAAAAGTGTTTTTTTGTGTTCTTTTTGACTTTCTCCAGAAAATGGTTACCCAATATTTCTTGCAAATTACAATCACGTGGCTTTCTGAATTCACCACAAACTCATGATGTTGGATAGTATCATTGGGCTTAAAATATGAAGAGCCATTTTCGATGTTGCAAACAAGTTAGCGCAGTAACCAGGCCCAATATGGCTGTTACCTGGACATTACCGGTCCAACTCCTCTTCCTAACCAAGTACCCCCCAAAAAAAAAAAAAAAAAAAAAACTTGTTGCAGTCTCTATTGGACCCCAGTTTTTGTATCTAGTAGAAAGGAAATCAAGTAAAAAATCAGTTTGTGAAGGCATTTATGATTATTGTGTTTGGTTAATCTTTGAGCTAGGGAGCCATTTATGTGCTATATATTTATTTATAAAAAATTTCCCATCCTTTCTACCGAATCTGATAAATCCTATGTTTGAGGATTTTGATTGGCATGACAGAACATTACATTACTACTATGATGCTCAACTTTTCTCCTTTAAAATACCAATTATTTTGGATCCAAACTAACTAGATTGTAACCCCAACACAAAATCATCCATTTGACAGCTCAACTCTCAACCCAATTTTTCTCTTAGCTTCTTCTAATCAGAGAGATGCATATGATGATTTAGATACTCACAATAATAATGGATATAATGATATCGTAGTTGGTACCACTTATCCCCAATGTGTTGATTAGGATACGATTATGCAATTCTAAAAAAAATTAAGTAAAGATTATTAGGTTCTAGATAATGACATAAATTCTTGATTAGCTGTTGAGTGAGCACCGATTTCGGTCATTGATCACACAATAATTTTCCAAAGCCAGTGGAGTTAGTTGCCTAATACTTAATATGTTTATGTCAGCATCAGAGCTAATTAACTGATCACAAAAGTTTAACAATAGCACAAGATATTGTGCATAAGCTTATATCAAACATGTTCTACTTCAAGCATAGAAACTAAATACAGAATGAAATACAGAATATTCACGAATGGATAAAATTTAATGGTTATTAATGTGATTCGTTTAATCTTTTTTTTTAAAAAAAAAAATTATTTATATGCATTATTTGTCCGATTTTGTGATTGATTTATGAATTTCTACACTTATGTCAAACTCATATGCTAGCTTTGTGGAAGCATGACGTTACATAAAGACCCATCATATAATTTAGGGTCTTACTTTAGTGGGTGGTGTTGGTGGTGGGTCATCAATAGAACCTTTAATGATATGGAAAACCACCCTTTTACTCAAAAAGCCTAATCTGTGGGAGATTAGCATATGAAATGTGTTTGTTTATTCATGCAAATGATATGAAAAGTCCAAAACTCACAATTATGGAGTCACTGTGTAGGAAAGCATAAACATATATAGGCAAAGAGAGATGATCCATTAGGAATCAACTAGATTCCAAACTGTGATGCCATTTGAGGAGTCACTGGATTACTCAGTTGTGTCTCTGTTAATCTTAGATACATCAAGCAACCACAAAGTCGTTTGGAATCATTAGTTTTATTAAGTTCTTCATATGTCCATTCATTTATTGGTCATATCTCTTAGTTTATTTATTTAATTTTTTGCATTGATTATAAATTGATTTAACTCGAACCGACTAATATACCTGAATATATATATACATATATATAGTTTGCAATTTGGTAATGTTCATGATTTTTTTGTAAAAACGAAATATAAAATTGTTTGGTGTGTTTGAAAATCAAGAGAGAGGGGGTGGCTGAAAGCAATTATAGATATAAAAAGGTGATGGCTAAAGGTGATTGTTGACAAATAGGGGTGACTGTATACAAGAAATGATGGCCTGAGAAGGTCACGGATGGTGGCTAGAAGTGGGCAGTGACCAAATTTGGTGCTTGCCAATGGTGATGGGCAGTGGTGATGGTTAGGGGGAGTGGGAGGTGGAAAAATGAATAAAAACGTGTTTCAAAGTAAGCGAAAACAACTTTCTTTTTGTTATAAAAAATTAGAAAGTTTTGTAAACTATTTATAATTTTTAAAAATTTGTAAACATAAATAGAAAATTCTAAATATAAATTTTCATAACAAAATAAGTTGTTTATTTATTTTAGTTTTTGGTAAACTGGATGCATTAATAAAGGAAGTTACATAAGTTTGGGATAGCAGACACCTCGAGTATCATCAAATAATTGAGTACAAATAGGAAGGGGAGGGTTGACAAAAATTTGAAAATTTTCAACTGTCGCCCATATGTTTGCAAGCAAATCCGCACAAGTATTGGCTTCCTGATAGATATGGTTAATTGTTGGTGCTCCTAGGCAATTCAGAAGGTACCTGCAATCATCAATGAGATTATTAAGCTGATGTGAGTCCATGGTGCCACCTGCTATGAGTTGTTCGAGTAAGATTGCATATGTTTCAATCTCTAAATTAGAAAGATTCTTATCTAGAGCTAATTTAGACCTCGTTTGGGAACAGGCTATTTTAGTAACTTTTTGGCTTTTTACGAAAAGATGTGCAGAAAAGTAGAGAGGTGATGCGACTAGTTTTAGTTGGCTTTTTGACTAAAATAGCCACTCCCTCAGAGCCCAAATTTCAGAAGCAACACTTGAAGTAACACCAATGTTTTTGCAAAAGCCCACAACCCAGTGACATAGATGGTCCCTGATAAGGCCTCCTGCAGCAGCTTTGCCTAGGTTTCTTTTTGAAGCACCATCCATATTGTGCTTGAACCAACCCTCCCTGGGTGGACTCCAACTAATAGACATAGATCGCTGGACTTTTTGCAGGAGAGAATTGGAGAAATGCTACTATTCCAATGCTTGAGCAATAGCTACAGAGGGTTTGAAAGATGTGTTGGAATTGAAAACCAGAGAGTTATTATTTTTCCAAATAAGTTGTTTATACCATTGATATCATAAAATAATATGCTTATCTTTTGTTCATTTGGTGGGGTTGTAATTTTGTGCGCGGCTAATTTTTTTTTTGTAGCTTTATAATAATATGATATGATGGAGTTGCCAACCTTATTTCATAAGAAATCCATCAACAAAATGTTAAATAATTATAATTCATTGAACAAGAGTGTTATTTAAATAATTATAATTCATTGAACAAGAGTGTTACTTAAATGAAGGAGGTGGAGAGATGATTAGTCTCCTCAAATCAAATTTAATTTATAGAGAGAAATTAGAAACTCTAGAACCCTAATTTTAAGGTGAAGGGCCCCTATACGATTCTGAGGGTTCCACTGAAAAGAGTGGCAATCATTGAAGAAGAACGGTAAGTATTCAATGACACCATTCATATATATGCTTTTGATATATGGAAATGGGGTTTTGATTTAAGATTGAAAAATGAAGTGGCATGACCTGACCATATGCACAATAATTTAATCTCATGGGATTTTGAACTTATTAGTCAAATAGAGTTGGCTAACAAACGCATCTAAATTGCATAGAGAGAGAGAGAGAGAGAGAGAGAGAGAGAGTTATGAATAAGGTAAGCTGATATTAAAACATACAAAATCTAGGGGTTGATTAAGTGGGTTGTATCCAAATACGAGACAAATCCATATGAAAGTGACTATTGGCCCGGTCTATCTAAGGAAAGCTTTGCTAATCCAGCCTCTTCACTTTTAACCTCTCATTGAATATAGAAACTTACTAACTGTAAATTTATATGATGTGTCTACCCTTCATTCTTTTTTTCACAATCTATGAGGAGGAAGTATCCACATGTAGAGACTATAATACGGCTAGTTCATGACAAATGAAGGAAAGTTATTTAATAATTTCAGAGCATTATTGTTGGGTATGCACTCGTAGTTATGATAAATGAGACTGTACAAAAGAAGATGGATGAGGCTGACTTTATCTCCTACTCAACTGATTAAGGTAGATCAAATTGGCTCAACTCATATCACTATTACTATTATTATTGATTTGGAATCTCCGCATCAACATGTTGAGTCGATAATCTGAGTGTATTGAATAAGTAAACAAAACTATTTTGGGCAAAACTAACTACTTATTCATCTTTTTTCCAATCATTACATTTCATTAGTTAATTTGATAGTTTTTTAGACTTTCTAATGCGTCTATTATTTTCTTGGTATATTAGAGATTGTAGTATGAAGAAGAGTCTTTTATCTGGCAAGATTTAAACCTTTTATCTCATCTACACAAAAGAAGATGGATGAGACTGACTTTATCTTCCACTCAACTGGCTAAGGGAGATCAAATTGGCTCAACTCATATCACTATTACTATTATTATTGATTTGGAATCTCCGCATCAACATGTTGAGTCGATAATCTTAGTGTATTAAATAAGTAAACAAAACTATTTTGGGCAAAACTAACTACTTATTCATCTTTTTTCCAATCATTACATTTCATTAGTTAATTTGATAGTTTTTTAGACTTTCTAATGCGTCTATTATTTTCTTGGTATATTAGAGATTGTAGTATGAAGAAGAGTCTTTTATCTGGCAAGATTTAAACCTTTTATCTCATAATGAGGTGAAAAAATTTCTAACCAACTGAGCTTTATACATATTGGTTGTGTCATCAGGATAAACCAATTTTGAACTCTTCGACACCAGGGAAAGTGCTAAAATGGAAAAAGTTTAAAATTTCTCCACTGGTCTTTTACAGGGAGGTATGATTACTGAACCCATTGAATCCTACACCTTTCTCGTTTCTTAATTATGTACACTGCATGACTTTCAATGCAAGTCTAAGCTATGGCTTTTAACAAATAGCAAGAGACTTTTTGCTTAA